GCCACTTGTGGAAAAAACCCTAAAGAGCGTCCTCGGGAACGTGCTGCCCAGGCTGGTAAGTCTGGGCGAGGAGTGTCACAGTGGCTGTGGGTGGCAGGGCTGTTTGCACAGCTGCAGGTTCACCTGGGACACCCAGCCCCATTGCCTCCATGGCCCCTGGAACGTGAGCAATGTACTCATGTGATGGCCCCTGTACACCCGTGGCAGTGGCAATGCTGAGCCCTGCACCAGACCCATGCAAGCCCAGTGTGAACAGAAAGGGGTGATGAGCCCCCAGCCCTGGTGACACCATGCAGCCCTGCTGCTGTGCGCTGGGGGCCCTGACACCCCTCTGCCTCCCCAGCTGTGCCCCGTCGTTGACACCGTGCTGGGCGTCGTGAACTCATTGCTGGGCTCTGTCACCTGTAAGTGCTGGTGGTCCCCTCCTGTCCATGTGCCCCACTGAACTCTGCCCTGCACTTAGCAGTTTTTGCTGCAGAACAGTGCTCATAGCCCCTTGTCTGGCTGGGCTGGCTGCAACCAGGGGCTGCCTACAGTACGGGGTCTTTGGAAACCACAGTACTTGTGGGCAGCTCATCCTTGCAGGTTAGAAGATCTCCTCCTTGTATCTTGCAGCCGTGCTCCCTCTGGGAGCTCTGGGAAACCTCCAGTACACTCTGTCCTCTCTTCCCATCATTGGCGACAAGTCCATCCAGCTGGATCTGAACGTAAGTGCTGCCTTTGAGTTATTGGATTTGGGCAATTGACCTCTGCGGGGTGGCTGCTTGTGGAGGACTGCTGGATCCCAGTTCTATGGTAAGGTGTTCACAGAGCAGCACAGCCCAGCCAGCTCCGTGCTCCTGCCACCGCTGGGTCTGTGTCTGTTCCATATTTGCTAATCCTTGAGGGCAGCATGAGTCAGACCGGCTGGACGCTGGCTAATTAAGTGTGATTGCAGCACTCACGGTGTCGTTCATTAGAAAAGCCCCATGTTAGCATTTTGTACAAGAGCAATGGGTCACCATTTATACAAAGGTTCCATTTGTAATTGGTTTGTAAAAGTTGGGTATGTAATTAATAGGGATTATAATTGCACAAGAAGGATTGTCAGTGTGCCTTACTGATCACAGTGCTTTACACAGACAGCTGCAGCCAATGCGACCACTGCCCGTGCCAGAGCAGTCAAAAACAGCAGTGCATTGATTATCGGGGTGCTGATTAATGACACGGGTGGCACCGCTCATGCCAACCTCCTGCCCTGCTCTGTCCCTGCAGCTCCTCCTCAGGGACGCAGAGGGCAATGTGGTGGAGCCAGCAGGAGGTCTGTCGATGCCCGTCACTCTGCCACCGGCTGCGGGTCCTGGGACACAGCTGGGGCTGTCGCAGGGCGTGCTGGGTGCTGTGCTGGCGCTGGCACAGCGGCAGGGAGCCTTCAGCATGGACATCTCCAGCTCGGCGGTGGGTTGGGGCTGGGATCAGGGGAGCTCCCACTGCCCCCTGCCTGGACTGACCTCCATCACCGCTCCTACAGGTGCCCAACAGCATCCCGCTGACCACCTCAGCCCTGCTCTCAGCCTTCCCCCAGGTCAGCCCCCTTTGTATTATCCGTGATATTTGTGTTTCTGAAGCCCCAATCCCAGCTGTGCCAAGGTTCTGATGGCTTCTCTCCCTCCAGCTCAGCACCGTATTGCCTGGGTCGCTGCCGCTGGCACTGCGTGTGCGCCTGGCTGACACACCTGTGGTGGCCCTGAGGGATGGGAAGGCCACTGCCACTCTGCGAGCAGCCATCGATGTCCTCGCACACCGCCCCGGCTTTCCTCCACAGACCCTCTTCAGCCTGGACTCGGTGAGTGCCCTGAGCCACCGCCTCCCCTGCACACTGGGAATGCACTGCCTGGTCCCACTGTTGTGCCCGTAACCACGCAGGTGAAACTTTTAGGGAATCATTCTGAATCCTGGGGGGATATCTGTGATGCCGTCTGTCCATAAAATGTTATTTCTAAGCACAGACAGGTGTTTTTTTTTTCCTGGCCTGAGTTACTTCCAAATGTTCTGGGTTTTGTCTGAGGGGAAATAACTCTTTTTCTTCAATTGTCACAATGGCAGGACATTGTTCTGGACATCACCCCATCCGTCTCTGGCGGCCGTCTGCGCACCACTCTGGCTGTGGACAGGTAGAGCCCTGCTGGGGGCACGGAGGCTGGGTCTGACCATGGGTATTGGGGCTGTGATGGGGGTGTGAAGCTCTCAGAGCTGCCCCAGATGAAGAGCTTGCCTGAAGTCAGGAGACACTTTTGAAGAAATTGAGTTGTTTTCACTGTACCTTTGCGTGGTTAGGACAAATTCTGGACCGAAAGGGGTGTGAGCACTGCTCAGAACACTCAGCGGCAGCCGCTCTGGTGGCATTCCTCCTTGTTTTTATCTTTTGCAGAGTCAATCTCAGACTGGCATCCTCGCAGCTCGGCTCCATCAATGTAAGTACACGGGGCAGAGCTCAGTTCTCCCAGCACCACCACCACTCCAGCACTAACTCATACCTCCTCCCACCGCAGGTCTCCCAGCTGGAAGGATGGGTGAAGGACATCCTTGCAGCTGCATACGTGCCTGCCATCAACAGTACGGCGGGGGTGAACCCCCCTTCCATGCCCAGCCCATAGCCCCGTCCCCAGCTGGCACTTTTGGGGTTTCATCTCTGATGAGCTGCTCTCTTGGCCTTGCAGATGCTGTAGGTATGGGGATCCCGCTGCCCAACATTTTCAACACCAGCTTCGAGAATGGCCAGGTGGACGTGGCTGATGTAAGATTTACATTTCTGCTGGCCCCATCCTGAGGAGCTGCTGTTCCTCCTACGGGGCTTCCCTGTGCAAAGATGCACTGGTCAGGTATAGAGAAGAGCTGGGGAAACCCAAGGGAGAAAAGTGAGTCATTTTTGTCCTTTTTCCTGGCAGAACACTTTTGTGATCAACCAGAGCAGAGAGCTCTGAAACCAGCTCATATGTGAGGAACCTCCACTTCACTCCTGGAATGAGACAGATGATTTCCCACAGAGCCCTGGCCATCCCCAATTGCTTTGTTTTTATTTTCTCCTGAGCACCACCTCAGGTTATCATCACAGCCCCAGAGAGAGGGCTGCTTCTGCTCTGTCCATCCTCCTGCAGCCCAAACTGTGGTATGAAGATGCTGCTCAGCTGCTGGATGTCAGGGGGGACTTTCTGTGGCCAATTCTAACACCCAAAGTCTGGAACCGCAGCTGTTGTTTAGGCATCAGTGTTGCTCTCAAATTGCTCTTTCAATAAAATCCTTCACTGCGTCAATGTTTCTTCCTGAATATTCATTGGATGTGAGTCTCCAGCTGCCAGAGCCCATTAGTCTCTGCAGTGCCCTGCACCATATGGCCACAGAAAAGCAGAGTGGTTCGAAGAGGGGGCCTTACCCATGGCAAAGAATTTGGTAAGCTGGCATCTTGGGGAACACGTTCCTGAAGCTCAAGGCTGTGGGCAGAGGCAGGGAACAGGGCTGAACCTGGATGGCAGAATAGGAGCAGAGCAGGTAGGCTGGGAAGGAGTGCCACCACTTGCCTTTGGAGCCAGACATGAGCTGAGCTCTGCGTTCCCACTGCTTTTGTTTCTGGATGTATTTTGCCACCGTTACGTAAGATGCACTGGATAGCTTTAGCTGGGGTCTGAGCAATGTATTTTATCTTGGATGGCATTAGCCTCCAAGGCACCAGGACAAAAGAACTCCTGTGATCCGTGGGCTGACACCCAATCTGTGCTTCTCAGTGTGAGGGCACTTTCCTGTGGCTGCAGAAATGCATTCAGGGCTGGGGCAGCTGCACGGGTTGGGAGGGTAATCCTGGGGAGCTCCTTTAAAGGAGCTGAAATGTCTCCCAGGGTTTGTCTGGCTCCTACCCATGTGCTTGCTGGAAAGCTAGGCAGGGCTTGAAAAATCACCCGCAGGTGTGTGTGGTTTGTGTCTGTATCCTGGTGTAGGTGTTGGCTGGATGTGCCCACACAGCCATGGAATGGGATGGTTTCCCAGCATCTCCCATGGGCCTGGTGGCAGCTTTGTGCTCCTGAGCTTCAGGGATTTTGTCCCTTCCTCTGAGTTCTTGGCAAACAGCACTGCTGATAAGGGGGGATCCAGTGACATATTGCACAAAACTCAGCATTAGTGCACAAATCCTTGCTTATACTGGAATACAGGAAAACCGCAAATGCTTCTGGATGGGCTCAACCCACCAGTCCACCTTTATGTAAGTCTAAGCATCCCTGCATCAGTTTTGCTATATAAGAACCCCCTGTTCCTCACAGGGAGGAGGTGACAGGTGGCTGAGCTGTGAGGTTCCCCCCCAGGCCAGGAGTGAGCACGACTGGAGACAGGATAGGGCCAGGTAACGGTGGTGCAGCTGGGGTGCAGGTCTTTACCACCTGCCTTATGCTGTGCTCTGATGAGTGAGAAAAACAGCACAAACACGGGCAGAAATGTAGGTAAGTGATTCTGGTTCAGCTGAAAACTCAGACAAGCAGATACGAAGTAGAGCTGAAAGGCTGTATTGCAGTGCAAACCGTGTCGCAGCGCGATGAGTTTGCACACGGAGTGGGGGTCAGCAGGGGAAGCTCACAGCACTCTCTGGGTTATGAGTAATGATTTTGAACTGCAACTTTAAAATCATGTCACAGCGACCGGAGATGGAAAGGAGCACGTTGCTCAGCTGCGTGTGAGTGGCAGTGAGCACACAGGTGTTATGGCTGTGCAGCAATCCTGCCTGCAGACCTGCCTACGGGTGCCCTCCCTCTTTATACCCTTTTTTGTGTGCATCCAAATCTGTTTGCTGAATGGGGCTCAAACACAGGAAGGCTTTTGGTTCTCCTAAAGCTCAGGTTTGCTACTCACTGAAAAATGTGCACCTTGCTCAGAACCCCTCAGGGGTTCCTCTCCTCCCAGTTTCCTTCCCCAGGTTGTGTGCCAGCAGTGCGACTTGTCCCCTGCATCCCCATCCTGCCACACCAGAGGACACCATGCTGACAGCTCTGAGCATCGCTGTGCTCTATGCCATGCTGTCCCCAGCCCTGAGCCAGCTGCCAACAGATGCTGTTCTCCGCCTCAACAAAGGTGTTCTGAGTGATGGTGAGTGTGATAGCAGGATCCTGGGTTTGAGGTGCTGTGCAGCCCAGCAAGGATGGACAGGGAGGGGGTTGGCACTGGGGCGAAGGAGCCTGAGGGTTGCATGCATACCTTCCCCTCAAACTGAACCCTGAGTCTTTCTTTTGGAAATTTTAAGTAGCCAGGCTTCCAGAAGGGCTCCTATTTGACAGGGACAAAGCAGTGATGCTGCTTCTCTAGGGGCTGCACCTCCTGGGGGCTGCTCCTCTGCAGAGGTGTGATCCCTTTGCCTATGTGTTTGCCACCATGCCATGTCACTACCAGGCTCTTCGCTGTCCCACCTCCCGTTCCCCTGGGCACTGTGCTCCTGCCCCAGCATCTACATGGTGCCTGAGCCCTTTTCCTGGGCTGTGTACAAATATCACAGTACAGGCAGGGACTGATGCAGGCAGTGACTAGAATGGAGAGTACAACCCCCCCATGACCTACACCAAGACCCTGTGTGCTCATCTCAGTGTGGCTCTCCAGCTCTTGCAGGTTCCCTGCAACACAGCGCAGTCCTGCAAGGAGCCCTCGGAGATCTGCCCATCAGCGGGATGGATGGAAGCAGAGCACTGCAGGACGGCCATGGAGGGGGCCTGCTGGGTGGTGGGGGGCTGCTTGGCGGCCTGCTGGGTGGCGGGGGACTGCTGGGGGGGCTGACGGGCAGTGGGGGGCTGCTTGGGGGACTGACGGGTGGCTTGCTGGGAGGAGGTGATGGTGCTGGTGCTGATCTCCTTGGTGGAGGGCGTGATGCAGGTGTTGGCAATGGGGATGCTTCCTGGGCGGCCCCCCACAGCCGTCCCCCTCCCAAAAGCTGGTCCCCTCCCAGAAGGGGATCCCTTCCTGTGGATGTGCCGGGTGCAGCAGAGGGGCAGGGGGCTCTGCTGGGTGATGGAGGCCCCTCCAACACAGCTGGGCTTCTCGGAGGAGGCTTGCTGGGTGTCCTTGGGGACGGAGGCGTGCTCAGCACAGTGCAGGGGCTCACAGGGTAAGTGTGGCTCCTGGTGGAGCTCTGAGTGCTGTTGGGGGCAGAAGCTCAGGTGTGGTCAGGTGGTGATGGTTCAGTATTAGTGTTGCTTGCAAGGCTCCTGGGTTGGCACTGAAGCTGCATAAAGACCTCTCAGAGGTGCAAGGTTTTGGAGCCTGAAGCTGCTTCCCGTAGGGGGAGCTCGGAACCGTGCATCAGCACTGCTTCCAACCCGCTGCTGGGCTGTCGGCAGGTTTCCTGCTTTAACTCTTGAAGCCTAGCAGAAGCACAAGGACAAGCAATCATAAGGCAGCCAGAGCACAGATTCTGATAAAACGGGAAAACAGCTGAGAAAATGGGGTTCCCCTGCTGTCCACGCAGGCTGAGGATCGTGGAGCTGACTCTGCCCAGGGTGTCCCTGCGGCTCCTGCCCGGCATCGGCCTCCACCTCAACCTCTACACACGGGTGGCCCTCAATGGCAGAAGGTGGGTCTGGCTGTGCCCCACTGCCCTGCAAGCCTGGTTGCCAGGGGATGGAGGGCTGAGCTGCTCCTGCTCCCCCTCACAGCCTCCTGGGTCTGCTGGACATCGCCGTGGAAGTGAACATCACCTCGCAGGTCCGGCTGACCATGGACGGCACCGGTTACCCCAAACTGGTGGTGGAAAAATGCAACATGCTCCTAGGAGGCATTAAAGTCAGACTGCTGAGAGGGTGCGTGGCGTTCTGAGGGACGTTTCTGTCCCTTGTGCTGTGTTTGAGATCATTCCACCCGAGCTTGCGTGGGGTCCTCTGAGGTGTAACCACTTGTCACGTGAAGCACAAAAAGCTCTCGGGCTGAGGCTGCTGCTGCTCATTTAAGGAGCCTATATACCAGTAGATAAAAGGCAGCACTAAATTTCCCACTGGCTATTTTGGGATGCCAATTAGACTTATCTCATGCAAAATCCAAGCATATACAGTGCACTTTGCTGCTGCAATTGCCTTGCTCCAGGAGGTCTGCTCTACACTCATTTCACAGGGAATTGTTTAAAACTCATTTACCTTGCAGCAGGCTTTTTTTTTTTTCTCATAGAGATCCTTTGTTTTTTCCATAGCCTGCTCCCAATTGTGGATAATTTATTGGCTGATGTCCTAAACAGGCTTCTTCCTAATCTGGTAAGATGGAAGGAAAAACCTTCATGATGCAGCTCTGCATCAGCCAAGCCAGGGCCCACCTCAGTTGGTGCACCTGATGTGGGGCTGTAGGGCTGTGCCCAGCTCTAAGCAGCTTCTCCTCATCCCCCCACAGCTTTGCCCAGTACTTGATGTTGCCCTGGGACTTGTTAATGATCAGCTGGGGCTGGTCAACTGTAAGTAGTGGAGCCCTCCACCCTGCCTTTCCCTTGGGTCGTGCTGGGTGCATTGAGGCTGTGATGCTGCAGCCTCTCTGCCAGCAGCGTGGAGCTCTCAGATCCAGGCAGAGCCTGCTTGGGGCAAGCTCTGTGCTGCAGAACTGTAGCAGCCACTGAACCACATCCTTTCCACCAGCACTGGTGCCACTGGGGCTGCTAGGCAGTGTCCAGTACACAGTGTCCAGCCTGCCACTGGTGACCGGCCAGTTCCTCGAGGTAGACCTGAATGTAAGTCCTGCACCTTCTCCTTCTGCTCTACGATATCTCAGGGGGTTTGGGTATATCTCCTGGGCTGTGCTTGTGGTCACACACGTCAGAGCTGAGGGGGCTGTGAAAGGGTCGCAGAGGTCCTGGCTCCATGCCCTGCTCCTGCACTGCTATCGTCACAGGGTTCATGTTTCATGAGCTTCTGGAGAAGGAAATGCAATGGGATCTGACTTGGCTGTGCGTGCAGCGATTTCACATCCATGGGACATGAAGTTAACCGTAAAGGCAAATATTGCAAACTGCTGCAACCTTTTGCCTCGTGCTTCCTTCCCTGTAACTGCAGACTGTGGTCGGACGAGTAGCAGGAGGTCTGGTCGACTACCCACTGGGAAGACCAGAAAGTGTCCCCACACCTCCACGGGTCCCCATGCCGCCTCTGCCACCGATGCCGGACACCAGCTCCTCCCAGTTGGGCCTATCTGTGAACTTCCTCAGCTCGGTGCTGGCTGCCCTGCAGAAGGAAGGAGCCCTGGACCTGGACATCTCCAACGCCATGGTGAGCACTGGAACTGCCTGCTTCTGACATTCAGAAAGCTCAGGTTTTCAGCAAACTGCTCTCGATTTGCAGAGCTGTGGCACCTTGTCACTGTTCATCAGGATCTCTGATCTCTGAGTGATGGGCCACGTAGTCTTTGTGTATCACTTGGACAATGTAGGAGATCTCTGCTGAAAACCAGCACGCACCCATGCAACATTTCCCCCCTTTGTCTGTGACAGTTTCCTGACCTTCCACCACTGACAACGTCGACTCTTGGAGCCCTGGTGCCTGCAGTAAGTCCTGGTTCCACCACGCACTGCAAACATCCCAGTACCCAGAGACAGGGCATCCCCTGCTTCATCATCTCACGTGTCTGATGGAAGAGCTTTGACTTTGTTCCAAAACCAGAAACCATAGCAGGCCATAGCTGGGTTTGTCACCTTGTCCCCTGTACCTCCCCGGTCACCAAAGCCCCTTGCGGAGCCCCTCAGCCAAGACCAGACATTCTCAGCAGGGTTTGGGGCACCCCAGTGGCTGAGCTCCCGCCTGGCTGGAGTTCAGTGGTGAACATCCTTGAGCTGGAGCAGCACAGGAGCAAATCCATCCCTGAGAGCAGCAGATGCTGCCCAGCAGGCAGCTGGCCCCATCCTTACCCTATTGCTCCCAATGTGCTTGCTCTGCCTGGTCACCACAGGCTTTCTGCCCCCGGATGCTGCAGGTTCTTCAGTCATACCCTGAGCCGTGTGAGTTGCTGCTGAAAATCACAGTTCCCAAAGCACCCGTGGTGACCTTAAAGAAAGATAAAGCTGCCATCCAGCTCAATGCTATAGCAGAGGTGGTGGCCATCCACTCAGCTGACGTGCAGAAGTTTCTCTGCCTTCTGAATATTGTATGTACAGAGGGGCAGCTGTGCCAACATGTGTTGGAGCACAGCAGCGGGCAGCTGCCTCCTGCATGGCCAACCCACACCTGTCCCCTGGCTGCAGGATGCGTCCTTGCTGGCTCAATTTGCTGTTGAGGCCAACAAACTGAAGATCAGCGCCGGCCTTGAGAAGTAGGATGCTGCTTTCTGCCTCTGTTCCTGCTGGTGTGGGGTGGGACGTGATGGTAGGATGGGCCTCCACCCCTCACTTTGCCTCTGCTTTCTTCTGCAGAGCTGAGCTCTCCTTGGTGTCTTCATCCATTGGTGACTTTGATGTAAGAACACGAGCAGCCTCAGCAACGTGTGACAGAGAGCAAAGTGCAGATAGGGATTAGCTGGGAGAATTAAGGGCCAATTATGCAGTGTCATTTGTGTTGCATTTTTAATAGGACCTTTCTTTCACCTCTGCAGATGCGTTTGCTCCATGGATGATCCATGAGCAATCTTTGGGAAAAAAAGACCATAGACCTGTGTGCTGGAAGATAGCAATGGGACGTGGGAACCATCCCACTTGCTGGCACCAGTTGGTGTTGGGGCACATCCAAACAAAGTTGAGATCCCCAAAGCATTTGGCACCACTGCAGTGCTGTGGGTTTGGTACCAGAGCTGAGGGAGACTTAGGGTGGTGCAGGGACTGCATTGCTCAGTTTGTAAGCAGTTTGCATGAACTGGATGTAGAGCTGGAGCAGCAGTGTGCAAGGAGTGTCCCTACACCCCAAGGATGGGGTGAGGCATGAGGGACCCCCCTCCTTGTTGTAGATCTCGCTGCTGGAGTCGCTGATCAACAAGGTCTTCGATGCTGCCTTCCTGCCTGCCCTGAATGGTGAGAAAGCTTTGGTGCCTCATCTACCTCTGGGGAGCTGTGAGGCACACAGTGCTGGTTGGGGGGCACAGGATGAGGGGGCAGGTAGGGCTGTGCTAACCGTGCTGCTGTCCCACAGCTGTCCTGGGCCGTGGGGTGCCGCTCCCACGCCTGCTGAACATCGACTTCACCAACGCTGACATCCACGTCATCGAGGTGAGCCCTGCCCTGCAGCACCCCTCCTCCCCAGGCATGGCAACACCCCACATCACACCGAGCCCTCTGCCCCACCAGGACCTCCTTGTGCTGTCGGCGTGAGCCACACGTTGCCCAGCTGCCCCCAGGATGGGAGCCCAGCCTGATGCTGCCCACCAGCACTTCACGCCAATGCAAGCAAACCAGCTCCTCCACAGAAACATCACATCTGCCCTTTGTAGCTTTGAATACAGAAGGAAACACAGGTGGCTGTTGCCTCTGAATGTTGTGTTCCGGACATTTCCTTTTGCAGATGCTCAGTAGGATGCAGTGGGCTCTGCATTCTCATGTGGGCATGTTACACATGATGGATGTGACCCCATCCCAGTCGGTCCGTGTAAAACCTCCTCACCTGCCTACAGCACTGCCCCACTTCTGGGGAAGCCGCTGAGCACTGCTGGGCTGCAGGGAGCACACTGGGACTGCTCTCACACTGCTGCCTTCCAGCCTGTGTGCTCTGCCAGCCCCAGTCCTCCCCGGGAACCCTGCAGAGCTGGCATGGGCTTTTCCTGCCATCTTTCCCATTCTTTTTCCCTTCTTAATTCCCTCTCAAACCTCCCCATACCGCCCAGATCTCCCTTTGGGGCACAGCCACCTCCTGCTCACCTCTGGTAGCGCGTGGTTCTCCCCGAGCAGTGCACAAACCCATGCACCCTCTGGTTGGCAACGACCTCTTTTGATCAGCCTGGCTCAGCTGCCATGCACAGTGTGTTTGCCGGGGGCAGCCCTCCTCCTGCTGTGTGCAGACACGGGCACTCAGTGCTGGCAGCACCTCTGGGTGTCTGAGCCCTAACGGCCTTCATTTCCTTTGATTTCTGCAGCAGCATTGAATCATTGATGAAAATTAATTTTTAAAGCCAGCAGAGCTCTTCCTTGTCAAATCCCGCGTTTATTTTCGTGCTGTTAAGTTTATTACACTGACCGAGCTGGAAGAAATAAGCGGGGCTCTTTAATTGTTCTTGTTGCAGAACAATTCTCAGCATCTCAGATCTAATCTCAGCTGTCTGCTAAACCATACCAGCATTCTGCACGTGGGAGATGCTCCGCTCCGCTGCGAGTGCCACCAGCCAGGTGGGCACGGCTGACACCTGCACGGATATTTCCCTGCTGTCGCACACATTCCCTCTAAGAGCTCTTTTTAAAGACCTGAAACCGTTCTGGCATCCTCTTACCATGCTGCACACGTCCTGCAGGGACCCTCCGACAAATCCCGCTGATTTTATTTGACACCGCTCTCAATCGAAGCAGCTCCAGCCTCTATCTTTCTCCTCTGCTCAATAATCGCAGCTGCAGGAGCGGTGCATCATTACGTGCTGATCAAAGGGAAATGCAGAAGGCAGACTGGTGAATTAAAGTCTGATTTAATTGTGCCAAGAACTGTCATAGAGGGATTGTTAAAACGTATCTGGAGCAGGTAAAGAAGTTGTTCCGAGTGACCTAAATAACATTATTTCTCAGTGCTGATGTGCTGCAATATGCAGATCCAATGCTGTCTTTCATTGAGGAGATGCTGCTGGGACAAAGGTGGGTGTTGGAGGAATGGAGACCACAGCACTGCTTCACTGACACCTTTCTTCCTCCTCAGCAAGCACAGTGTGGCAGCCTCAGGAGTGGCACAGGGAGGTCCCACTGGGTGACCAAGGGGACGTGGGCAGCTCTGACACGGCAGAATGGGCGTATAAAGGATGAGTGGAACAAAGTGGGAAAAACAAACAGCCCGGCCACGGGGAAGTGAAGCTGGTTTTGGCTGCGCTTTGAGCTTTAATAACGCAAGGTGCTCTCCACGAGGTGCAGAAGGACACGGCTTTGACACGTACCATTTTTTATCTGGCTGTGCCCCTTTAACTGCTCTCATTTCAGGGCCGTTCCGGAGCAGGTTGAAGCGATCCATCTCCTCTCTCCAAGGTCCTCCGCCTCTTCTCCTGCTCACTTCACAGCGCCGTTCCTCTCCCTGCAGCCTCCCTGTGTGGATGCTCTGTGCCAGGCATGGGGATGATCCTTGGTGTGAGCTGTCCCTGCTTCGGGAACCATCTGACAGCAGTGGGATGGGGGCATGGCAGTCCCGGGTGCTGGGGGTGTGGAGCAATGGGCACACAGGGCCATGTGTCGGTGACACGGTCTCTTGGCAGGTGCTGGGACGGAGATGTGGACGTTCTGGTGTCTCACCCTTCTTGGAGTCCTCCTACCCCCCTGCTGGGGGCTTCTCAGCTTGGGGAGCATCCTGGGCTCCAGCCCTGCGCAGCCCTCGAATGGTGAGCTCAGGGTTCTGTCCCTGCGGTGCCGGTGTGTGTTGTGTCATGAAGTGTTGGTGCTGCATCCCCGTGTTTCAGCAGCTGGGGGGGACCTTGGGGGTGCCTGCTCATAGGGGGAACCATGAATGAGGCTCTGTCCACCCCCAGCAAGTGCCCTGGGGTCACTCCTTCTGAAGGACAAAGTGTCCAGCACAGAGCATCGATCCCTCTTTCCTCCACTGAGCTGCCCATGCCCAGAGGATCTCCCATGAAGCTGATGATGACACCTTTGGCTTTGGAGGCTGCAGGGCCCTGGCAATGCCAAACTGCCCACACTGGGCTGCTGGCAGAGCTCACCCCATTTGTAAAAGGGCATTAGCTAATAAGGGTAGATGTGCTGTCCTACATGGTCAGAATAAAAGGCCAGAACCACTCAAGCAGCATGAGCCCTGGTAGGATGGAGGATGAGGTGGGATGGTGTATTTGCTCAGTAACAGATGAGCAGTATGAACCCATGGCTGGCAGTGGTGGTGTTGTCAGCAGTGAGGTGCCTGGCACAGACCTGCCAGAGGTACAGATTTGTCTGATGCAGGGCATCAGCTTCACCTGGGGTGGATATTCCTGCACAAGGGAGATGGGTCCTCCTGCTCTTAGAGTCCCTGAAACAAATTTCCTCCTCAATGAAATTCTTTCCAGCAGTGAAAGTCTGCTTGGTAATTGGGATTGCTTGCTGCAGGAGGTCTGCTGGGCACCGGCCTCCTCGGGGAAGGTGGACTGCTGGGCACTGGGCTCCTGGGCAGGAAGAACCCAAGCAGAGATGGCAGCGAAGGCACTGGAGGTGAACCCCAGGGCGCGGGGCTCCTTGGCACAGGGCTGCTGGGTGAGGTGGATCTGCAGTGTGCACACACTTGGGGGAAGAGGGCTCCTGGCAGCCAATCTGGCACAGTGACACAGTCTGACTATTGCAGGAGGACAGCCTGGTGGCAGCGGTCTGCTCGGCACGGGGCTCCTCGGTGGGGAAGGACTCCTTGGCAGTGGTGTCCTTGGAGAGAAGGGTCTGCTCGGCACAGGGCTGCTCGGCCAAGGAGGCAATGGAAGTCTGCTTGGGCTAGATGGGCTCCTGGGGCAAGAAGGACTGCTGGGACAAGGAGGTCTTGGAGAACTGCTGGGACAAGGAGGGAGCAGTGCTGCTGTCCCTCAACCATCGCAGCGCTTTGCCTGGTGAGTGGGAGCAGATGCACAGCAGCGGTGTTCACTGCAGAGCTTTGCTCCATACACCGACTTCCCTGACCTGGTGACAGCTCGTGTGAGCCTGGGGGTTTAACACCACAGTGCCCCTTTCCCACTTGCACATTTCAACTGGGAATACCCACACAGGGAACTTGTCCAGGGGCTGTGGGACTTGTGCCTGGCTCCCAGCTCACGGGCTTTGCGTCCTGGCAGGCTGAAGGTACTGAACCTGGAGAGAGCCCGTGTGTCATGGAAGGTGCTGCCTGGGGGCGAGCTGGTTCTGAACCTGTATTCGAGGCTGAAGGTCACCCTGCCGGGGTGAGTGGGACACAGCAGGGGGATGGGGGCTGCAGAAGTTGTTTGTTAGGGAGCTGTGCATCAAATAGAGCCGTGGATCTGCTGTGATTTCAGATTTGCAGCTTTGCTGGGCATCCATTGCCTTCAGAGCTGCAGTGACTCTCCCCTCACTTTACAGAATATTTCTCTTTCTGAGCGGATCTTTGCTGGAAACGAACATCACATCCCACATTGCGCTGACACAAGACAGCCCCGGTGACCTCAAGTTGGTGATGAAGGATTGCAGGAACCTGCTCGGAGGCTTTAAGGTCACTCTGCGGAAGGGGTGAGTGCCACATTCGCCAGCGCTGTGCTGTTTTATGGTGCTGTGCAGCTTCTCAGTTAGAGTCCCCAGGGTGATCTGGAAGGACAGAGACACACAGGGCTCTCTCTCCTTCATACTGGGCTCTGCCAGAGCTGCCCACGCTCCCCAGGGCAGGATGGCTCCATGGGCAATGGGCAGAGTGAATGGGAGCTGGAGGTTCAGCAGTCAGGAGACCATGGGGTTCTGCTCACAGAAAAGCCACTTTTTTGAGGAATCTGTATAAGGAGATGGGATGCTGTGATGTGCACATGGAAATAGTTAAAATAACGGGCAGGATGAGGTGTGGGTCAGCTCTGTGCTGTGGGTCAGCCCTTCGCCATGGGTGAGCTCTGGAATGTTTGCAGTGGGTACAGGTTTAAATGTTCAGGGTCAGATGATGCTGAGCAGATGCAAAGAGCCCCGAATGCCGATAGCTCCTGTCGAAGCCTGGGGGAGCTGTGGGCTCGCAGCATCCTTTGCCATCAGGGGAGGGAGGGGAAGCTCCCAGCATCTGCCTCAGTGTAGCGTTTCAGCCCTGTCTGCCTTCTGAGAACAGGCAGTGACAGCTCCATCCCCGCCTTTTTCTCCCTCCAGGCTCCTCACCAACGTGGTGAGCGGTTTGCTGAACTCTTCTCTCCGCTCTGTCCTCCCTATGGTGGTGAGTGCATGAAATTCCATCGCCGTCAGAAGGCGCAGCTTAAATGAAATCACCGCTCTTTCCCGTCGCTGCGCGGCAGATTTACATATCCATGTCCTCATCTGTATGTGCACGCACAGACACACGCCCACGCCCCATAACTGAATTCTGCAGACTTCCTTGATCTTCCTCACGGTCGGGATTTATTTGTTAGAAGTAATTCAAATTCCATCATGCAGCGTTACGGGATAATTTGTAAGCGATTGCTTGGCGAAATGCCTTCTCGCACGGAGAAGGTGCAGTAAACAGAAGTGACAGCCTCACTTAGGAAAAAAGGTGCTGGCTGGAAAATCTGTTATTCTGCTAAATAGGATCTGGGCTGTTTGGAGAAGAGGGCTGAACAATTTATAGTGTTCTTTTTCTGCGGAGGAAACGATGCTCCAGGAGCGGATTGCTTCGTCTTCATTTGAAGTCTGTGAGACTCAGATGATGGTGCTGAGATGTTACTACAGCTGCCATACCTCACTGAGGTTGTTCCTCCTGTTGTGCCGTTGCAGTTTTGCCCATTAGTGAACGCTTGGTTCAGCATCATCAACGCCGAGCTGCAGTTTCTCAACCGTAAGTTGTCGATGTGCCCGTATGAACTCACAGAGCAGCAGATGGAGTGTCTGTGTGTAGTCCGTGGAAAGTTTACCCCAAAGCATCCCCTGTGGGCTGTGCCATCCAGCAGACACTCCCAGACCAATGGCTTCAGTGCCTGTGGACCCTCAAGTATATGAGACCTCAGAAAGACGAGAGCGTTTTCCTCTTGGCACTGGGACACCCCCACTCAGGGATGCATTCCCAGAAACGGGGCAGTGTGGGCTCAGGGCAGGATGTGGCCCTGCTGCCAGCCCTGGGCTCTGCCTCTCTTCCCATCCCTTTGCTTTCTGCAGGCGTTGTCCCTTTTGGACTCCTTGGGAAGATCCACTCTGCACTGTCCAGCTTGCCGCTGACCTCAGAGCATTCCTTGGATCTGAACCTGCAGGTACGACCCTGCTGGTGTTTCAGGCTGTGGGTTTGGCCCCGTCCCATCCCTGTCCTTTCCCCACCTTCCTGCACTCACAGCTCTCCTCATTTGTTGCAGAATTCCCCATTCCCAGCTGTGTTCATCGATTGGCTGCTGCACAGTGAGTGCAGAGGGGGCCATGGGGACAGGGGGCCATGGAGATGGGGGACATTGGGATGGGGACAGAAGGACAAGGAACAGGGGGACAGGAGGATATGGGCAGCAGGAGGTGATGAGTTCTGCACACTGCTGCTCTGTACAGCCCTGGGAAAGGCGCTTCACCTCTTATAAAAGGATCTCATAATATTTACCTAGTGGGAGTGAATAATGGTTCTCGGGATGCTGTGAGGATTAATTAATATTTGCAGAGGTGATTGGAAGAGCTTTCAGCTTCATATGCAGGCGAAGTTAATATAGAAAGGAAGGAAGGCAGAGTTGGAAGCAGTCCCAGCTTCCCCAGGGCCCAATTCCTCAGGGCAACAAATCAGCTCAGCCCACAGAGCTGGGCACGGGCAGAGCACAGCAGGGCTGGGGGGCTCATCGGGCCAGGGGGGCTCTGACCATGCTTCTCTCTCCCAGCTGCAGGTATTGACCCCAGCAGTGGGCAGTAGGGGAATGCTGCCCTGCCCTGTGGGTTCCAGTGCGCTGTGGGTGAGGCTGACCTGCACCCCTCTGCTGCTCCTCGCAATAAAAAGGACTTTTCCTCATCTGCATTCAGCACGTGGTTTGGGTTCTTTCCAAAGGAGCTTTGAAATTGTGAGGGTTTTGCTACTCGCCTCTCCTCTCAGCTCCCGGAGTGCCGTGCAGTCAGGGGCAGAGCTGCAGAAATGGGTCAGTGAGGGGAATAAACTTTCCCCTCTTTTGTATGTATGCAGATTTATTCTACCCCTGTCCCCGAGGTTCTTTTATTCCCTTCTCCCACCAGCTTGAACACAAACTAATGCTGCTGGAGGGGGGCAGGACACCCAGACCCCCACACATTGGGGGCTGTGGGGCACAGCAGGAGGGGCTGCACTGAAAGGCCTCAGGTACAGCTGTGCCTCCCCCCATCACAGCCACCCCATGACCCTGCAGCACTGACCCGATCCCACTCAAACCAGTGCTCCACGTCCCCAAAGCCCCAACTGCTGCTGGCCCAACGCGTCCCACATGAATCATTTCTGATGACAGAAAAAGGGCTTTTTCCTGTTAAATTAGGTACCCTCAGTGTGAAGCTGTAGGGCTGGAGGTCCCTCGATGGCTCAGGGACAGGGCTGCAGGAGAGATGGAACTCCCTGCTGTGAGCAATGCCTTGGGGTGCTGTGCTCACAGGTCCTAGGGAAACAACTTGCAGAAGATGGAGTACCTCTTTTAGGTTCACACCCCTATCAGCTCAACAGAAAGTGAACGCTGTGTTTGTTTCCTCGCCTCAGCCATTCCCCTTGGCATCTTCGTGGAAGCAGAAAGGGGAGGAGGACCGTTCTGTCTGGCTTTTCATTTTCACAGCAGTGCTCTGAATATTAATCAGCCTAAAAACAGTGCTGTAGGCACTGCTGCAAATGACAGATCTTGCAGTTGGTGGCACTTTGCTGTGTAATTTCGGCATGCAAGTCAACAACAGGGGCTGGGCAGCTAATTCTCCCCGTGACCTGACTTTGCAGATAGCAGACATAACACCGAACACCAGCAGCCCTGAAGCACCCTGATAGCTTCATTAGCAATGCCACTGTGCAGCAGCTGGTTCTCATATCGGGGTTTTCTGACAAGGAACCACGTGCCCTTCTTGTCCCCATTAACACGAGAACTGTGAGAAGGAGAGCCCTGAGCTGTGACCACACTGAGTGGGAGCTCCAGGTCCCAGTCCCTTTGCTGCACAACAAGACCTCAAACCACAGGTACACATAACTCTTTTTTTCCCAAACCCAAAGGGCTGCCAGCATTCCAGACCTACTCTGTGCAGATACACAGCCACCTCCATTGGGGTGCACTGGTCCGTGAGCACTGCACTGCCCTGTGCACGTCAAGTGATCAAACAGCGTGGCCAGGAGGGAAAAAGTGTGGGAAGATACAGAGCCATTAACAAAGAACGTCAGAAAATAGATATCAAATAATGACACCACGACAAGAGCTTATTAATAGGAAAGTCTAAAGATAAAACTAATTTAAAGCTGATGAGGCAGGACAGCTCCTCTTCAGGAGGACGAGGAGTCAATAGTGAGCTGTCAGCACAGGAGATAAATTGCTCACAAAGGAGAAGCTGCAGGACTCCAGGCCCCAGGTTTGTTCTTGGGGCTGCTGTGATGCAGGTCCGGAGAACACAAATCCTTTTGTTGGCTGTGACCTTCCTGCAGTGCTGTAACATTTGCTGTGTGTTCGTGCTCTCATCCACCTCGCCCAACTGCAACACTCTGCAAGCAGAAAGCATGTGGTTTCATGCTGTGAAATGCATGTGTTGGGAGCTGCCTCAGGGCATGGCTGAAGCTTGAATGCAAATATCAGCCAGCACTGTGGGCTGCGCTTGGAAACTTACTCACCAAGCACCTCACCAGAACCAAAGAGATGTGCAGGTGTCACTGGGGCTCTTCCAGCCCCACAGATGTACAGAAGCTTTGCTCCCATTCTCTGGAGGAACCCTGCAGCAAGTGCTGAGGCTCCAGGACAGGCTGAGCAGCAGGAAGCCCTGAGGGGGCAGCCTAGGAGAAAGAGATAGGAGCTCGATGTTCCCAACAGCCAAACTCAAGGAGCAAATCATCTCATGTGCAATACGGAAACCATGTGCCTTCCAGCCCCAGAGGGGGGATGTGGGGGACGTTCCTGCTTTCAGGCAGTGTCAAATGACTTAACTCTGCCTCCAAGGTCACTGTAAGTGCTTCCTAATGGATGCTTTGCTGCCTTAAAACCTCAGCGTTCATTCCCAAGGCCTATAAAAACTAAGGAGGCGAGGTAAATGGTAAGCACTATGGCTCCCTGGGGAGTCTGTGCAGTGAGCGTTATCACCTTCTCATCAAAATGTAAAACCCAGCTCTCCTCCTCATTAGTCTCTCACTCTTAAAATAATGATTGTAAAACGACCACAGCTGGCCTCAAATCTGGCTGGCAGGAGTGGGGAGAGCACACTCAGGTCTGCATTTCTCACCTGGGAATAGGTGCCTCTAAGGAACATAGGAACATGTGAAAACGAGCTGTGAAAGGCAGCAGTCAGTTCTTCTCAGAGCACAGCCTTTGGCCACAGCTTCAAGATGCATGGGAGAGCATGAGTGGAAAGAGATGCCACAGGGCAATGAAAACTAGACCATTTACCAGGTGGCTTTTATTAGCAAGAATAGGTTGGCTTTACTATTGTCACAGCTGGGGGATGATGTATTTACACCCTGCTCCTCCTTTGGAATTTCAAGCCCAACAGCTTCTTGCTGCCTCTTCCTTAAGAACCCACTGCTAAGCTTGTACACACTCGACAGCAGAGGTCTAAGCCCCGCTTTTGAGACTGGGCCTAAGACTCTTTCTCAGTTGGAGGTAGGGTGGCAGAATGTCAGTATTTCTCTGCACCTCAAAACCCACTCAGCAGTGCTGACTGTGCAGACTCACTTCCATGAGAATCAGCCCTGAGCTCATAAAAAAAACCCAACACCTCTCTTTCTTAAACTAAGGCCTAACGAATATTCATTGAACCACGCTGTTTTCAAAGAGATACAATTATATCCCAGGTAAAGTCTTCTCTCCTGCTCAGCTCTCCAGCAAAAGGGTTTCATGCTTGCTTAAAAATTCTGTAAGTTCAATAGGGACTCCTTGATGGAGCATTGGTCAGCTCTTCCTTCAAAGTCTCCCTGGACAGAGCTTTTTACAATGATTTCTTTTAGTGACACGATAATCAATACTGAAAGGTGTGATTTTTTTCCTCAAACCTCAGAGGAGAGTTTGCTTACAAGTGCAGGTTACAGGCATTTGTTTTAATCTAGCAGACCAGGCTGGAATATGACACAGTGCAGCCACAGCTAACTGCAGGCTCTGACAAAAACAAGCAACTGTAAGATATACTTACAAAGCTATCAGCCTTTTAAATTGGCACAATTTCTTTCCTCTTGCAAAGGAAAAGGAAAGACTTACCACAGAAAATGAGTACAAAGCTGTAGTTAAAGATTTAACAGGCTAGTGAGAGAACCCTCAGCTGGAAGACAGTTCTTCCCATGCATTCATTCCCTTAGGCCTAGAGACAGGAAAATCCCTTCCAACAAAAAAACAAGCAATCTCAGAGCAAAGGCAAAACTGTATTCCATCAGTTCAAAAAAACATATTAAGCATTACTCATGTTCATTAAAAAACATTTTATATTTAATTTATATTGTATATTAGTGCTATATTCCATCATATAGGCACAGCTCAGGGTCTTACTTCCCAAGTATTTTGCAATTGAGGAGATTATCATTATTTGGAAAGAATTCATCACAATGTTATCCTGTTCTTCAAGTAGCCTGTCTCCTTTGGCAGTCCTCCTGTGATCCTCTGGAAGTTACTAGTTTTGTTTTCCAGGTGCTATCAGTCTTTGCAGCTCCCAAATTCAGCTGGGTTAGGAGCAATGACCTGCTCTGCAGACAAAGTTCTCAGGGCTGGGCTGCGTTAGAGGACATGATCAGAAGACAAACCCACAGCACTGCAAAGGTGAGCCAGGACTGACAGCAAGTGAAAGCACCAAATCACACAGTACTGGGGTTAGGCACATGAATGCACAGTTTCCATCCCAGTCCATAAACTTGCACAGATTTAGAAGGGGCATATTATTGCCAAATGGGAGACAGACCCAGTTATATAAAAATAAATAAATAAATAGATCCTGTTTCTGCCCCATCTTCACTTAACCAAACCTCCTTGTTTCTTTCTAGAGAAAAGAATCTACTTCTGCCCACTGGCAGCAGGGATACCTCAATGACAAGCTGCAGAGCGGGAGAGGGTGGTACGACAAAGCAGAACTCCCTTCAAGGTCTGAGAGCTGGCAGAGGTTACCTGAAAGAAACAGAATAACACACCTCAGGAATAAAAAGGCTGAGGAGGATCCATTCTAATTTTAGGCTCTCCGGGCAATAGCTGCTGTAGGAAACAGCACTGTGCAGAAAAAAAAAAAAGAGAGCCTAAGGAAACAAGAATTACAGGCAGGTCACCTTCACCAAAACATAGTCCCCAGGCTGGGCTCTGACCAGAGCCTTGCAGCCCCCAGCATCCTCTGTGTCGGCATCAGGGAAGATCACCTTGATGTTGCCATCATTCCTCCCACACAGCTCAGAGGCAGAGCGCTTGCTGGGCTGGAAGGAGAACAGAAAACATTACTGGCATGGCAATAGCTTTGACTCATTCCTGGGCTCTATTGCATCAGGAACTGAGCACCAATGTCAGTACAAAAATCCAAATTCCACATGATTAAGCATGCCACACAAAGCCCTACGGACAGAGTTGCTGTTGAGAGACACACTAAAGGCAATGTTTGAAAGCCTACACTCATTCCATGTTTAGACAGAGCCATCTCTCTAACCTATCCCACTCCTTTCCAGGACCACCTGCCCTTGAGAAAGCAGCTTCATCTTCACAAATGTATGAAAGATCTAACCTGATGTTTTGTGCCTTGCTACCAAGCTATAATAAATCACTTCAGCTTCATCCAGTTACCTCTTCACAGACTGCTGTACAACATCCCAACTATGGAGAGTTTCCCAATATTCAGACCAAGGTTTTTAAGAAGCAAAGTCACTAGAGCCCAAAACAAGAGGGACTGCAACTTTACTTGGCACCACTTTGTGCTCAGCTGAGTGCTGTGGAAAAATCAAGCTGAACGTGTGGTCTTGGAGTATCATAGAATGTATTACGTTGGAAGGGACCTCAAAGTATCAGGACTGTGTGGGGAAAGGTAAGAAGTGAAGGCAGAGGTGACGACTGCAGTGTACAGCCTAAGAGCCTCTTGGACAACATGAGGGCAGAAAGACAACTCTTACAAGCACACTCACCCCCTCCACTAGCACCAGCTGGGACTGACCCACCATCGCCTCATTTGCCCTTGCAGCCTCCTCTCGAAAGACAGTGATGAGCTCCTCCAGTCGCCTCCGTTTTACATCTGCAGGCACATCATCCTGCAGCCGGTGATACGCCCGAGTTTTCTGTAAACAACAGACTTTTTGACATAAGAGTATTTGTGGCTGTGTGAAGCAGAACTACTGCAGCTCCTATGCGAGATACATGCATTGCCTGACTGTTTACAAGGACAGGAACGGATTCTAGCACCTCTACTCTCATTGTGCTGAAAGATAATCCATAATCCTTTTTTCTTAACTTTACCAATCTTCTGTCCTCTTCCCCTATCAACAGCTTACACTTTGGAGAGCATTCTAATAAAAACTTGTCCACTGTCAACTTTTCTCCTTGAAATACCTTCTGAAAATACATCAGTTCTCTCCAGACTTGATTGACAAAAAGTCTCTATAGCTGGGCTCTAGTCCAGCTACATCAGCACAACTTTTCATCAGCAAAAAAAGATGGACCTGCAGCCAGCTCAATGCCAACGTGGCTGCTTTGTTGCAGTCACTCTAGGACATTTGCAAAACCAGGCTGCCCTATCAGTAATCAACCCTGATGCTTGCATGGGAGAGCTGGAAGCTTTTCTGGCATAGAGATGGCTCTTGCAGCACCATATACGCTTGAAATGCTGCCTGCAAGCAAAAAAAAGTTTGTCAAGATACCATGTTTTTAGGTATTATTTTCAACAGATTTTGCTACTGTCTTACTGTGAGAAATAGCACTTAAGGAGCTAAGAGGAGATGCCTAGAGAAAAGACTCTTTTCCATTAGATTTTGCACTCACCTGTCTCATGCTATAAGCGAAGAGGAAGCCTACGTTGTAGCGGACCTCCCGCAGCAAGGACACAGTCTGCTGGTGATCTTCTTCTGTCTCCCCACAGAAACCAGCAATGAAATCACTGCTTAAACTCACACCTGTCACAAAGATGCAGATTTCCACTTCACTCAAGGAAGACAGGAACATTTCATTCAAGAAAGGACAGTAAGATACAGCTGTACTGAGCTCAGGTCAAGCTAAAGGGAGTCCCCACCTGGAATGGTGTTGCGCACATGCTGTACAAGCTCTAAGTATGCTTCTCTTGTGTATCTGTGATGAACAACACAAGGATTTGTTGATCAGAAAACTCAGACTGGTGAGTAGAAAAACCAGGCAGCAGGGCATAGGGCTCCCCATAGCCATCGCTCACCCCCGTCGCATGGCTTCCAGGACTCGAGTGCTTCCACTCTGGGCTGGGAGGTGAAGTTGTTTACAGATGTTGTGCCGCTCCTGGATAAGCTGCAGGACCTGTGAGGTGTATTCAGGCACATTCAGCACACAGTATCACAGCTAGCTCAGCTCTACCAGAATGCTAAAGGAAAGAATCTTCCCAAGATAAAAGATTGAAAAACTGCCAGCTTTAGCATACACATTCCCTTCCTAAGCTCCTATCCTGTGATTCTTTGTTACCTCTGGGAAGGAAGCACAACCCACATCTAACATTTCACAGCTGTCTGCCTGTAAGATAGAGGTTCAGGTGTTTATTTCATACTTGCCTCATCAGGAAAATCCTTGGGGTGCGGAGAAGTGAAACGAATCCTCATTTCTGGATCAATTCTAGAGACCTGGTCTAGAAGATGTGCAAAACGCAAGCCTCCTGGTTTAGCTTTGTAGACGGTGCTAAAGCCACGACTGAGGACTGGGGTAGCAGCTGACTGAAACTGCACCTCAGACATGTCTCGAAAGCTGTTGACGTTCTGACCCAAAAGGGTCACTTCTTTCACCCCCTAAAAAGATAAATGGAGAGAGAAGAAAAGATTATGATCCAACCAGGATGGCTAAGCTGCAATGGCAGCCATGGCTCCACTCTCACTTCAAGAAGTCTTCCAGGGGAACCTTCTCTTCCCTGTCTGTCTCAGAATATTACAAGGGGAATGAAATAGCAACTGGTGGAAACTCAAAGCAATCTCATCTCCAGAGATGAAGGCTGTGTCAAAGCTATCACTGAATATTCACTGAGAACCTGCACAACATTTGGGACAGGTGGAAGCAGGCTCTGCCCTACCTGATCTGAGAGAATCTTGACTTCCTGCAGGATGGACGCGATGGGGCGGCTCCTCTCACGGCCACGTGTGAAGGGCACAATGCAGTAGCTGCACATGTTGTCACAGCCCCGCATGATGGATCTGCCAGGAGATGAAGCACAGGTCACACTATGATCACTCTGCAAGAATCATCCGTGCTCAGTCCTGCCCTGCTTTGACTTGTTCCAGCACTGCTACCATCAGCCAACTCACTTGTCTGCAGCACACACAGCACCAACTCTGAACGCAGCACTGCAGCTTTCTCTTACACATCATTCCAATTAGAGCTGACTTCTGCTTGCCCCTAGCTAACACTTCATAATTTTCCATGCACATTTCCAAACAACTAACCCGGAAAGCAACTGATCTGACATAGACTTGCACTGCAATCTGGAAGTGAGGCAGGATCCTTTTGCACTCTGCACCTGCTCAAGGTAAAAATTATTCCTGTGCACTAAGGTCACACCTAGCATTACTTCATTACTTAGGAATCTTATTATAAAATGTGAACAAATGGAAATAAAACCAACAAAAATTACAGTGCACAGGGGATTAGAAGAACGGACACAGCAAAAGGAAGGAGATGACAGAAGGCACAGACTTGACAGGCACAGACATCAGTGGGACAGAAATCACTTGCTGCAGCACCATGCTTAAACAAGCAGCATTCTCAGAGGACGACAAGAGAAGCCTGCAGCCAGCCAGAGCACAGGTCAGTCTCTCCAGCACTCAGTCAGACAGCAAAAAGACAGCAAACACAGTCTGGTAGACTGGTGCCTCTGGGCTGGGGGAGTGAGTGCAGCCAGGCATTGCCTCTCTCGGGTAACTGCTGTCACTGACATGACTGCTCAGCACAGCAACATTTCCAAACCGGAGTGACAGAAATACACACAGAAAAAAAGGTACTTACACAAATGCTGTTTTGCCACCTGCGCTGGTCTGGACAGGCAGAATATCTGCATAAGTCTCATCCAGTGATAACAGGACATTAGCAGCTTGCTGCCCAGATTCAGCCACGGCCAGCAGCCGGGGAAGGTCCCGATACGCATCAGGGCCTGCCACAATATCGACCAGCTTCTCCCTATGAAGAATCTCCTCCTTAAGCCTCTCAGCCATGCATCCTGCCACCAAAGGAGAAGGATTCTTGTGAGCGAGTGTCCACCTTCAGTGAGCACTCTGCACCCTTTCCCTAGCTTCTCTCTCCCAGCAGAAAAGACTTGACTCTATCAGAAGGAAGAGGAAATGCAGCATGATGGGATATGGCACAACAGCCTATGCTCCCTGCTGCTGCACATCCCACCTCATACCTAGAATCCCAATGCGGAGAGGCAAGCACGCCTGGCGCCGCCGGGCCTTCAGAGCTTTGAGGTGCTGCAGGCGGTTCCAGATAGCCTGCTCAGCCTTGTCCCTGGAAGCCAAAACAACAGGAGTTATTTCCATTACTGCACTTTAACAGTTCTCCAACCCAGAGCTGCTTGAGAACATCTACAGTGTAGAAATACCTCAGGGACTGACAATTCAGATCATACAGAGAAAAAGTATGACTTCACCAACAAATAGGAGCTACGTTGCAGGTGACAATGCACAGAGAAAAGCAAAGTTCCCTACATATTTATATCCCAAATCAACCCTAAATGTATTTCCCAACAGGACAGACTTTATACTCCTACTACAGTCACTTCAATAGAAGACCAAAACAAAAAATCATACAAGCACAAATGTGTGTGGATCTCTAACTGCTCATGAAGTATATACATAACACACACCACCAAAGAGTTTTTCTCACTATACTGTAATCTCTTACACAATCCATGCTATACATTGTAATATCAGCTAGCTCTACTCTAAACAAAATGTGTTGTTTCACATCTGCGTGCTGTTTTCATCAGGTAACTCATTTCTTGTCTTGGTTTTCAAATTGTAATTCCTTAAGAGCTACCAAAAAATAGCAATGACAAAAGTTTCCTTACCTAACAGAACAGGTCACAAGTAGAATCACATCCGCCTAGATTGAAGATCACATAAAAGGAAGGAGAATTTGTAAAAGCCAAATGATAAGTACTAATGCCCTGCACATATAACCTGAAGAGGCAGACTATAAAAATCACTTAACTCAAAGAAAAAGATCTGCCTAAATGCTCAGTGGATTTCAAAGAACAAAGTCACAAGAAAACTCAGCAAAGCCTTCATCTGAATGGCAGAAGTAAACCCGAGATGAGTCAGGAGCACCCTGCTGTGCCCAATCTACTCTCCAACTGAGAGAACCCAGCAGTTTAAAGGAATAAAAACAACCCACAGCCTTTTAGCACGCTTGTTAAGTAGCTTTCTCTCCTGCACAGAATTTAAGACTGCAAAAATCCCACTGCCCTGTGTGACCATAACTCACAATAAAACCTGGGACCAGACCATAGTGTGAAGCCCTCTCAGGCCTTCCTTACAGACAGCTGCCAAAGTGCCTCACCTCATCTGCTTCCTTTGTCCTGGTGTAGCCGCTCTTCTGCAGGATAGCCCAAGCAATCTCTGTGTCATTGACATTCATCTGGCAGCCGTAGGTCTCCAGGTACACTGCAACAAAGACACAGATAGGGGTGATACAACACTGCTGTGAATCTCTCTCATCTACAAGTAGTTTCTGTGACTTTTTCCATAGGAAGGAAGCATCAGTTCCACAAAAGAAGAGATTCAGGAAAGCTGCATAAAACGTACATTCCCTGACGAGGAGAAAGAGCAAGCCAAAAATACAGACAGGGCACTGGGAAACCTGAGCACCTCAAAGCGCGTTGCTGCAGTACCGCAGGCCCGAACTGGGGCTTGCAAAGAAGCAGCGAGTGCTGCCACACGGCACTGCGGACAATGAAAGCCTCCTCTGCTCTGGGCACTGCAGCCCGGAGCTGGGCACAGCCCTGCGGGCAGCCAAGGCAGCAGGGAGAGACCGCAGGAAACACAGTAGTGAGGAGGAGGCCGCCGGGCTGGGCTTTTCAAGCCAGGAGAACCACTGTGAGCCCAAACCCCCACGGCCCCGCCCTGCTTCGCCTGCGGGCACCGTGAGCTCCAGCAGCGCTCGTGGCTGGGCTAGGCTCGGCTGCGGCAATGCAGTGGCACACCGACCTTTCCCGAGGCCGGAGGTAGAGCCCTGTCCCGGCTCCGGCTCCCCGGCGGGCGTTGGCGCGGCGGCCCCTCTTAGGAAGTGTCTCAGGTCCGGCCCCGCTGGCAGCTCGGCCCTGCGTCCCTGAGGCCTCTCGCTCTGCCCACAGTGCGCTGCACGGGAGGCCCCGGGACGGGCAGCGGCCCAGCGGAGGGACCCGGCCGCCCGCAGCGCGCGCCCAAAGACCCGCATGGCCGAACCCGGCGGGGAGGCCGCGCTAGGCCGCGTGAGCAGGCCGCGTTGCCATGGCGACGCCGCCCAGAGAGGGGCGCTTCCCGGGAGCGGCCCCGCGGTGCACCGCCCAAACGGTCCCCCCCACACAACACACAGCCCCGCCTTCGCGTTCCGCGCCAATGCCGTTCCGCCGGGCGGAGCCGGGTCCCTGCGGGCAGCCACGCGACGGGAAAAAATGAAAAGGAAAAGATGATTTTTTTTTCCGTGGTATTTTAACACGACGAGGGGGATAAAAATATCCCCCAAAAGGCGCTCCCGGCCACCTCCCTTCCCTCGGGGAACGTGCTGAAGGGCAGCGAATAACAAACACCTCTGTCACACTGCTTGCTGGTTTCACTGCGGTGTGTTTATGTGGGGGCTCCGAGCGGGGGCTCCCCTGGGCTCTGGGACCCCCATGGCGGAGCGCAGCACCGCTCAATGAAGGCAAAGCACAGGGAGAAAGCGAAGGGGCAGCTGGTCCAAGCTGTGGTCGGCCCCAGCAGCTGCCGTGCGGCTGTGGCTCGCTGGGACCTGGGGGTACAGGCCCCCCCCGGCTGTGATGGATCCCTCAGCCCAGCCTGGGCCGTGGGGTTTGGCTTTGGCCCCCGCCCGCGCGTCTGCGGTCTGTGCTGGGCCGGCTGTGAGTCAGGCTTGGCAGGGCCGCTTGTTTTCTGTCTCAGCGGCGGGGATGGCGGGGGGAGCAGCTGAGGCTGGAGCTGGGGCTGGGAACCAAAGTGGGGGACGGGAACGGGGTCCCCCGGGAGGGACGGCGCAGGGCAGGCTGAGGGGCCGTCCTCGTGGTGAGAGCCCCTTTCGTCATCTTTATCTGCTCTCCCGGGGCGTGTAGTGCACATCTGCTCCGAGCAGCAGGAAATTCTGGGAAAAAGAGAGAGGAGGGGATTGTGAGGCATCCTTGCAGCTGCTTTCAGCCCCGCTCCTCATCACCCGCCCGCTTTGTGCCGCTGCCATCTTCTGTGGCTAATTTTAGCTTCAGAAGGGCTCTGAAGATGTTTCACAGCCACACCCTGCCAGCAGCATCCAGCATCCAGCCACTGGCACTCCTCTGGGACCTCCCCAGGCCGCTCAAGGCACCAGATTCCTTCTGCTCCTGGGATGGGCTTCGTCCAGGGCACGCACTTCTCACCTGGTGAAACTGCACAAGGATATTGGAGAGCTGTATTCGGTCCGGCAGCGGCAGTGGGAAACCTTCAGCTAACCTCTCTGGAAAAGACAATGCACATGGATATGTTAGGACCAGAGAGGGGAGCATGAGGCTGTGCAAAACTGGGGGACATTTCCTCCAGCCTTTCTCTCTCCCTCCCCGTGCCATAGGTAGGCAGAGTGGTTCTTCCAGACTACATGGAGGTCTGGGGCTGCACGTTATTCTGTGCCACCCCTCCCCAGACCCAGCCACCAGCCCTGCTCTGGGCTCAGCAGTAACAAAAAGCTGATTTGCTCAGCAGTAACAAAAAGCAGTCAGTGGGGGAGAGGGTCTGGAAAGCATTAGGATGTGTGTCAAACTCATTTTTTCCATTGTGTTCACTTCTGAATGCATGTCACAGCATGGAAAGAGGCTCCTGCACTCAGCTACCCACAGCCCACCTCTGCCAGCCCCAGACAAGCTGGGTACTTTGCTGCATCCTCCTCTCTCTGCAGGTTCTACCCACTGAGCAGACCTGGCAACAGAGATTTAATTAACAAGCTGGGCCTGCTCAGACAGAGTGACATGGCTGGTGACTGTTCCCATAGCCCCATTCCTCCCAGCAGGTCATTACCATTAACACGTGGGAGCAGGATACTGGAGGCATATATATTCATTATTGACTGCAGCATTCGTACCTGGAGTTGCAGAGAGAGAAGAAAGGAAAAGAGCTTTACAAGTGACCAGACCCTGGAGGGCAATTAGGAGGAAGAAAACGAAGGAGCTTTGTGCTGGTGGGGTGGGAAATGAAGGAGGCAATGGTGACTCTGCTCCTGCTCCCAGGCTGAGACAGACGTACACCCCCAGGTCCCATGTTGGTGTGGGGGGAGGGGTGAGCCGCCTCCACAGCCCCCAGCAGGCTCTCTCCTCCATGCTGGGGGCTCTGATGATGGTCAGGAACAGCCTACCTGAAAAGTGCCAACATCTGAATGCTTCAGAGAGAGCTTCATCCTGCACAGAGAGAAGTGGTGCAGTGCAGGCTGTCCCAGGGAAGGAGGTGTCCCCTCAGTGCCCATGCCAGTCCCGCTCCCTCCAAAGCCCAGCTCTTTGCCTCCATCACTGGTTCCGTCCCCAGCACATTCCCAACTCATTGCCCCCAGCCACCACTTAGCAGCAACTCCTCCTGGAGCCGTCCTGCTTCCAGCTCACCTGCCCACGCTCAGTTTCCCAACGATGTGGCCAGATTTCACATCAATGGTGGCGGACACGTTGCCTGTCTGGGGAGGGAGGTAGAGCTCAGTGCCCGCCAACTTCACTCCAAAGCAGGCAGAGGGGGAATTGTTCAGACCAGCCAAAATGCAGAGACCCGTGTGCACCCAGTGTGAAAATTGGCATTTGTGATCTTAAAGGGCTACTCATCCAGGACTGGCATCCCCATACAGCCCCGGTCCCAACTCACCAAACTGAGGAGGAATAGATGGGCCAGACTGGTGTTGGGAAGGATGGCATAAGCCTGGATGTCCACAATGGGCTGGAGTGAGATTCCATCTGGTGTGATGCTCAGGAATGGGGCAGAGGGAGCAGACAGCCTGAGCTTCATCAGCATGTTGGGGTACATCTTGTCCAGCTGCAAGGGAGCAGGGGGAGGGAAGGAACCATGGCACATCCATGGGAGCACAGAGCCTCCTGAAGCTCCTTCCCATGCCACCAGCCCATGGGGATGCTGCACCCAGAGGGGATGAGCAGCCCCTCCTCTGAGGTTGCTCCTCCCCATGTGGAACCCAGGGCTGTGCTCTTGGGGAGCATCTTGTGCAAAGCCTGTGCCAGGTAGAAGCTGGGGGACAGCACTGGGGCTCACCTGGGGAATGAAGGCTGCAAAGGTGGAGGTATTCAAATGGAATTCGACATCCTTCGGGATCTGTGGGAGGAGGATGGTCACTGCTGGGCAGTGCAGCACAGGGCTGGGGCATGATCAGCCCCTCACATGTGTACTTCATGTGTGCATCTTGCGTGTGCACCAAGCACATCTCAGCCTTGCACTGTGCCTGCATGCAGCTCCACAGGGAAGCATAGAGGAGATGCAGAGGAGCCCTTGGAGCCATCCAGCCCCATCCCGCCTGCCCTTCTCACCATGGAGTCTGTGATCTCGAAGATCAGTGCCCCAGCTGCATGGTAGGCGAAGCCAGCAGTGTTGAAGAAGTAGCTGGAGGCCCCAAAGTAAACCATGCGGTCGTGGTCAGGAGGGAGGGCCAGCACTGGCGGTGGGAAGGGAACAGCACCACGATGTGCCAGGGAGAAGAATTCACCCTGGAAAGAGGAAGTGGGTGAGGAAGGAGCTGGGGGGCATTTGTGGCAGGCAGCTGACCCCAGTATCCCACCTGCCTCCTGCAATGGCATCAGCCACCTCGAGTCTGCCCAGAGCAGGCTCTCACCTTCAGGTCTACATCCAGGGTCTGCGCTGTGGCCATTGGTGGTGCCACCAAGGAGTAATCGATCCCAGCCTTGGCATCTATCTTAGCTGTGACTGCAAGACACGGGGCAGAGGGATGAGTGAAAGGCAGACGGCACAGCAGAGCCGGGAGCAGCTTGCCTCTGCTGACATCTGCGCAGTGCCGTGCCCTGGCTTTCCCGAGCAGCAGAGAGGCAGGGGTTTCACACACGTTTGCTTCTGTTTAGAAATAAAAGGGACATTTCCCTCCTCATTTCCAGCCATGCAAACTAACTCCTGGCCTGGAGACACTGCCTGGGTCCCCTTACAGAGGCCGGGAAATGCTGGGAGGGAGCGCTCCCTGAGCCTCATGCAGAGCTGTGCAGTACCTGGCAGGGTCTGGAGGTAATGCTGCAGATCGCCACTAACAGATCTGACCACGCTGTCGCAGACCTGGGGAGGCAAAGGCAGAGGAGCTCAGCAATGTGGCTCTGCTGGAGTGGGAGCCTCAGGCACACGCTCTGCTTAGCTGCCCTGTGCTGTGTGTTCTTTGCAAAGCTGGCTGAAATAAAAGAGTGCATAGCGATGTTTTCTTCTATTCCAGGTGACACATTAACTATTGGAGCAAGGTTTATACCTGTAACCATCTGCTTAGAGCAGGATTCCCACCCAGGTGAGTTGCATCAAGGCTCTTTGAAGGAATCTCAATTGTGCCTTCTGACTACCTGCAATCTTATAGTCCCTGCAGGAGTGCACTGTGCTGAGCATCGACTATTGGGCAGAAGAAACTGCAAGAGTTCATCTGCCCCCGTGTGGGGCAGCCCTGCGCTGTCAGGGGAGGAGAGCAAAGCCCTCTGCAGCTGCCATCTGCAGGCAAAGCCTCAGCATTAGTGGGGTATTTAAATGCATGCTGATCGCTGGGCAAGGAATTTACTGCTGGGAATGGTCCTGTAGATGGCCAGGATCATCTGCACAGGATCTTCCAGTGTCATAATGGCACGGGAACACCCGTGCAGGATCAGGCCAGCATCTGGCCTGCTGGCAGCAGGGTGAATAGAATAGAATATGGAGGATGGAATGGCATGGAATGGCATGGGAGCACTGCTCAGCTCTGCAGAA